CTTTTTGACAAATATACCTCATTTTTATTTATTTTTGTATATAATAATTAAATATTGTATATATTAAATAATTAATACTTTTATTTAATAGAATTAGGGTTTTGCCCTAAACATAAAAAACTCCAAAAAAAAAACAATACTTTTTATTTTGTTTATTTGACATATGAAAATACTTTTTTTTTTTCATATATATAAAAAACATTTTTGCATCTTGCATATTTATTCCATTTTATTTAATTATTGTATATTAAATATCTTGTAAATAATTCAATATTGATCTAATAGTCTAGGTTTAAATTTCTTGTCAAAATACCCCCCATTTGAACATTTGTACCCCCCTTCCCATATTGTGTTGTAATAACTTAGGAACTTTATTTTTCGCACTTTAATGCTTTCTAATTATACCATGTTAGAATTAGGGTTTGTATGCGAATCAAAAACAACAAAAATAGTTTGACCTAATTTCAAGATAAACAAGCATGAAAATGGACAACACTCATCACACTTGCACCCCTAGGGTATTCCACTTGTTGCCTTCAATAATGGGCCATATTGCATGTTAGGTCTCTTTGGGCAAAACAAAACAAAACAAATCAAAATGATCATAGTCCCTCGATGACGCTTTCAAAAGTTGCCTAAAATGATCAAGTCCCTTTCAAGGAAAAATTGTCCAAAGATACTTGGCACCATTGCAATTATGGTCTAAACGATGACCCGCGCCCGTCCCTTTTACATCCTAACACAAGATTGTCCACCAAATGCAATGGTGGAAGAAAATTGTTAAAAGGGTTAAAACATAGCAATAATCTTTGAGAAATTTAGGAGTAGACAACCTCTTAGTTACTTGAATCAAACTTGCAAAACAAAACACTTGCCTATTTTTAAACCACACCTCACAACACTTTCAAAACAAACTTTCAAAAACAAATGAAAACCTTTTCAAAAGACATACACCTTTGTATACATCCCAACATGGATCATTACAAAGGTTGCCACCACATTGGCCTCTTTTCAAAAACATTTTCAAACCCACACACACAAAGCACCATTTCAAACAATTGAAAATTAAGGCAAGTTGATCTAAGCAAGTAACTAAGAGCCCATGGATAACCATGGATAGAAAGGGTGCTAATACCTTCCCTTTCTATAATCTACTCCCCGAACCCAAGAAAACATCTCAAAGGTTTTTGCTGTGCTTTTTAACCTTTCCTTAGGATAAAATAAAAAGTCGGTGGCGACTCTTGCTCAACCGAAACATTTGCGAAAACAAACGCAAAACCATAGTCAGTTCTCCCACCGTATCACACCTTCCCTTTGTCTAAAGTGAGTCAAGAATTTAGAATCTCTATATCATCAATTAAAGTTATTCCGTTATATTCCCATCTTAGGATAAAATTCAATGGTGGCGACTCTATATTTTTGCCGGTTATTACAGTATGCATTGATGAAAACCAGATCATTTAACAAAAAGATTAGCTAGATAGAAAGTCCATAATACATCCAATGAGGTTGGGACTAATGCCTTTAGAGAAATGAGTTGCTCATGATGGTAACCTGGCCTAATAGACTGGAGATTTCAAGAAATATATTCAATAGGTAGTAACAAGTTGTGAGTAATATGAGGTGATCATGCTAGTATAAATTAGATAAACATGAATCCTAAAGAAAAAAAGAATGAGATAATGGAAACTCTTAATGAGATCTTTACTCTGTATGAGAAAGTACATAGCTACAAGAGTATTCTTGATAGATTCACCTATTTGATAGACCTTTACTCATGTTGTATATGAATCCTACTTGCTACCCAAAGGTTCATGTTGTGGACAACTTTTCTTATGCACAATCTTAGAAACTTTTGTCGTTACTTCTGAAACGCTTTTTGAATTCAATTTGGGGATTATAGGAACATGTCAACATTCCATTAGGAGATGAATTTTAAAAAAGATTCCTTAAGTCTCACATTGTTAGGAAAAATAAATGTGTTTGTGTGTTAGTTGAAAAAAAATTCTTAGTCATGCATTGCTTAGATTTGAAGAAGGAGCCCGAGAGGACAATGTACGCCAATGAATGCATTGTGATGTGCTATTCTTAGTCCAACTTTTAAAAGGCGAGAATTTCATGTAAAGTTTCTTTCGCGTTTGATTTGTGAGATTGTACAATTATTGTCTTTCAATCCTTTTCCTTCTCAATATAAAACTGTCGTGCCTTTAGGAACAATAAATTTTTAACAATTTTCTATACTATTCTAATTACTTATCTCTTGTACACTTCTTTTTCGGCCTTAATAAATTTGCATGTGAGTTTCTTTTGTGTGTGTTTGTGTGCTTGTTGTGTGTTGTTTGTATATATACGAGGTTTTGCATGTTACGAGGTTTTGCATGATACGGTATGATGTTACTATTTTATTTTATGATGTGAAGTTCAATGAAAGTTGTCCTTTCTCAATCTCTCTATCGTAGAAATGGTCTGGTCCAGATGCACATGATAGTGCAACCAATAATCAGCAGTGTTGCCTTGTTTTTCCAATCCCATACCAAGTATCAAGGCACTGGCAATCAACAAGTCGAGAACATTTTTTCCATTTATAAGACCGGAACAAAAATTATAAGATTATGATAAAATGGAAAAATAATAGTATATTCTTAAAGTATTTTTACATGATAGTATATGTTAGTAGGAAAATGTATTAGTGAGAAAATGACTTTTCATATTCTTTAGACGTATGATATAGTTTTTATATTTAATTACTATTACATGGAAGATTTGTTAGACATTAAGAATATATGTGGTCAATTACTTGGATTATCATAAGTCAATTAGTTAAAATAAATCCTAAAAGTGAGATGCTTATTTTTTAAACCCTAAATTTAAAACCTCGTCATTTTAAAACGTACGCATTCATTCTCGTTAAAATGTAATTGTTGTGTCTCTGCTTTTTGTCATCCTTCTCACTTTTAATTGTGGCAGGGGAAAATTACCAATTATACCCAGAACTAGCAAAGTTCGCACAAAATCAATGATTTTACAAACAAAAAAAAAACACAATTTGACTACAACACGTTATTCTATTTAAGATCGAAATCGATAGGAATGAGTGAGATTGTAAAATCTTTAGATTTTAAGATCTAGATTGAGATCTTGACAATCATGAATATCATTTATGGAGGTTTGCTGTGGTATTTCGGCGTGTTTGCATCATACTGTTATTAATTTAACTTGAAAATGATTTTCTCATTTTTCTGCTTTGCCTGAAAATGCAAATATCCTTAGAAAGTACTCAGTCAATTATTGATAAGATGATAGTGGCACAGTTCATAATAGTCCAATATCAATTTTTCAAGTATCACCTAAAATAAACTATGTTTATTACTACAAAACAAGTGTTCCTGTAGCAGAGTTGGTTTATGCAACAATGACACATGTGGATGTAAATAAACAATACAATAAATAATGTTTTTTATAACGAAATTTATATCTGAAACAATAAAAAACGAGAGTATAGATCATAGGAGCGCCATATTTTATTTTTTATTTAAAATAAATAGCATTTTTCTTTCGGTTTTCTTTAAAACTGAGAAAATATGGCTATAAGTGAGCGTCATATTTATCAAAAATAAAATAAAATAAACCTACTCTCGTTTTTTGGAAAATAAGTTTTTTGCTTCATCCACAAAGATGACGACAACAGAAAAATCAGTCTTAGGTAAGTGGGTGGATTACACAATTGTTTTACTTGGGAAGATTTGATCCTCGAGCATTTGAGTGTTGCTTAATTTTGTCTACGGCAGAGGGAAATTTTGGTTCTGAAGTTTTTGTTTGTAATTGATGTCCAATCTCACTGTTTTCAATGGCTCGATTCCCATTTGCTTCTCAAGCAGACTAAAGGGTCTACTAGAAACCAAAAGAGTAATAGAAATCACTTCCAACCTTGAGGACAAGGTTGTTTATAAGAGGGTATCATTAATAGGATCCATCTAAAATGGAAGGGGGAAGTTACACGTGAGTTGGTTAGAGATAGTGAGAAAGTTACAGGTGAGTGGTTAGAGATAATGGAGAAGTTACATATGAAGGGAGTATATGAGATTTGTGAGAGGAAAATAGGGATTAGGTAGTATCATTTGTAATAGAATCTCAGGGTTTAGTAAAGAGAAGATTTCTTCTTCCTTTGAAGAGCTTTGCCCTGAAATTATAGAGATTTATTCTCTGTAATAATTTCTTTTTACATTCTCTTATCTCTTGAATTGGTTTCTAACAATGACTTATTGTTGTATTTTCTATCTCAACAGTATTGCATTTGCAATATCATTTGTATTTTCTGTTAGCTAGTTTCATCCTATACATTATCTGTTACACCCTTCGTTTTACATGAATGAAATAAAAACAATATTCATTAATAAAGTAGAGACAATTTTTGTTTTGTACATTAATTATTCATTAATTCCATTATTTAGTGACTAGAAAGTACAGTAGTGAAAACAATATTCATTAGGGGTAAAGTTGATAAAATTTAATGGACTTGAACAAGATATCATTCTCAAACAATTTGACAAATAATTTCACAAGGAAATGTTATAGATGCACTAATAATTTGACGAGTTATTAGGCACTACTAGTCTTCACTACTTCATAACCTCTTTAGACTTGAAAGGTACTTCTAAGGACTATCTCTTTCGTCTGATAATTTCCTTTAGCATGAGCGGCAACCATATGAAAGCTTTCATTTGACCATCGTGGAAGCTGTATTTTATAGCTTCTTTGCTTTGACGTCAATACTGCCCTGCAACGCTAAAACGAAATTACAATTGTGGTTCCAAACAAACCAAAAGTTGCTGCATAGAGACACCTTGACGATGGCTCCAAGCTCTGCTACCATAAGTCAATGAGGAATGCAAACTTCATTCTCGACTTGATATTCAGAAGGCAAAAAAGAGACTCTGAGAGTGTTCAACCACGACTCCTTGTTCATTCCCGAGTAGAAACTCCTCTTGACATTGAATGAGTCATCTGAATGTACTATGCCATTTGAATTCAGAAAGCTCCGCCATGTCATCAAACAAGAAATCACCTGTTATTCTGAGTCAACGCGATACAAATAGCTGAATTGGTTGGTCAGTATGAATTGAATGTATCTTGAAGTTATCAAATATAGTAAATTATATACAGGAAATTCTCATTACACGGTTTATACAAGTTACACAAGATAAGGTAAGAAAGTATGCATTGCCCAACAGACCTTGTTTCTGCAGCTTTAGATTCAACAGCAAGTGCAACATGCCAATCTTCAAACTAGGATACTCTTCAGGATCAAAGAGTATGCGGCTTTTGGATTAACCTGGCCATATTAGCAAATAAATATAAGAAATTATTTATTTAACCCGCATGATATCTGATAAATAAGAAATTACATTGTAATTAAAGTCCCTTGCTGTGTAGCAAGAGTTGCAAATTTGAATATTCCTTTAGTATGTTCTAAAGAAAAATATAGAGGTAACAATTCACTTAAATCCATTGCATGTTTAAAACACTTCTCAGCCATTTCTAACAAGAACAGATAATACACTAATACAGTATGCTGCAAAAATCAAACATCAAGAAGTGCCCTCGAAACCATTACCGGAATAAATAGACAGCGTCTCAACCATGCACTAGAGTCGGTATCTAAAACTCAAGGAAATCTTTGGGAATTTTGAAGGGGAGTGGAGTGTTTGCGAATGGATAGATTTGGAATGGGATTGGGCAGAATACTGCTGCTGCCAGAATCTCATTACTGGCTCTCTTGAAAGTTCCAACAGTAAGGTTAGAGGCATCTTCCTCATCGTGAAGAGGAGTGTCTCGGTTGTGCTCTAGTTCAACGACCCTTTTCTTTGGTGATGGAAAGCTATTCTTAGCATATCCTCCATTGAAGAAAGAACCTCTATTTCCCTAAGTTTCAGTACAACAAGAATAACATCAGAAAGTACATTGTACATTCAAGTTCAACGTAAGAGTAAACTAGGCCATATGGAGGATCATGTGTGTGTGTGTCTGTGTGTGTATTAAAAATTCATAAAAAATACCTGCTAATATTTGACATCTTCTACAATAGAGCCAAAATCCAGCCTTGCATCTTCTATACTCGTGCTGAGTAATTCCATAATGGTTATTATATGTTCACTTAGGGGATGAGATTGAACCCCAGCAACAAATGTATTGAATTCATCATTGACATTAATCCAAGACCATCCTGGTTCCTTTATGACTCCCTTTGACTTCATTAACTTTCTTAAATGTGCCACTTCCTTCCATCTTCCACTGGCAGCATATATGTTAGCCATAGTGATGTGAGTTCCAGCAGAATTTGGATCCAAGCGAAGTATTTGTTCTGCTGCCCATCTTCCTCGGTCAACATCCCCATGATCCCTACACGCTCGGAGTAAGGTAGACCACACAATGTCATCACAAAGGAATGGCATGTTTCGTATCATACGCTCAGCTTCACTCAACCGCCCTGCTCTGCATAGAAGATCAATCATGCAACCGTAGTGCTCCTTTGAAGGAGCGATCCGATACTCATTAGTCATTAACTTAAAGTAGTAGAAACCAAGATCCACCAATCCAGCATGGTTACAAGCAGTCAAAACCCCAATAAACGTCACATAGTCTGGCATTAAACCAACACCGGAAATATTCTCAAACAAGCTAATAGCCTCTTGGCTGTAACCATGTTCGGCATACCCATTGATCATCGCAGTCCATGACACAATGTCATTATTGTTTATACCATCAAAGACTTTTGAAGCATCTTGTAGATTTCCACTCCTTGAATACATACTAATAAGAGCACTATGAACCATTGCTTCGTGATCCAGGCCAATGCACAGGGCATGAGCATGCACCTGCTTACCTGGTTCAAGAAGTGCCATGCTTCCACAAACACTCAGAACACTAGCAAGAGCAAACTCGTTTGGTTTCGGCCCTTCAGTTCTCATCCATGATAGATAGTTGAAAGCTTCTTTTGCGTGGTTTCCTTGAGAATAAATAGAAACTATAGTGCTCCAAGAAATAATATCTTTTCTAGTCATACCATGAAATACCAATGAAGCTTCCTGTAACAGCCCGCATTTTGAATAAAAAGTGATAATAGAATTTGCCACCGACAAGGCATCTACAATACCTAAACGCAATACATGGCCATGAATTTGTTCCCCCCATTCAGTAATAGCGAGATTCGCACAAGCAGAAATTACAGATGCAAAAGTGTACTCATTGGGACCGACATTAGATTTTCTCATTCTTTTAAATGCGTCCAATGCATGTTTTTCTTCACCCATTTGTACATAAGTCGTGATAAGGTTCGTCCATGTAACTACATCTGGCTTCCACGTTTTTCCAAATAATCGCATGACATAGTCTAGTTTCCCACATTTACTATACATGGTACCAAGAGTATTAATAACAAACGCAGTTTCGCTGAACCCTTGTTTTATTGTTTGTGTGTGGATGGCTTTCCCATAATGTAACAAACCTGAATCCGCGGATGCCTTTAAAGCAATGGCAAATGTATGTGAATCATAGCCTACTTTTGATCTCCACATTTCAGAAAAGTACAATAATCCCTCTAAACTGTAACCAGCATGTACAAGCCCCACAATAACGGCAGTCCATGATACTACATTTCTTGTTGTCATTTTTTCGAAGACACTACAACCTTGTTCTGTTTTTCCTACTTTCATGTACATGTCTACAAGGGCACTGCTGACAAAAACTGAGTTTATCAAACTGGATTTCACTGAAAACCCATGCAATAATTCTCCAAAATATACATTTCTGCCAAGTGCACAAGCCTTGAGGGCAACACTAACCACAAATTGGTCCTTTTGAAGTTCAGAGTTGACCCACATATTTGAGAATAAGATCAATGCTTTATTCGAGTCCGCGGCATTGACATAACCTGCTATTAAATTTGTCCATGAAATCTCATCTCGGTGAGCCATTGTATCAAACATATCCCTAGCTTCACAAAGTTTTCCAAGTTTCATCAGTTGCTTAATTTGTGAGTTAAGTTCAGGCATATTAGGCCCATAATAATCCGTCGGAGTCCGCTGTTCCGGTTTACCCTGCCAAATCACATCTCTGCATTCAGTGGCAGTTCCTGCAAATATACTAACTTAAATAAGGCTGAAATCTGGCACAGAAACATGAAGACCTTAAAATTACCATGCAAAACTTACATGAATACTTATGAACTATTATTAAGTAATTAAGCTATAATCAACTGAGGCATTATTAAGAGACGACTTTTTAAAGTCATATTGTCTTAAACAAAGAAATATCTCTTAAACAAAGCCATATTGTCAGAATTCAATAATACTAAACATAAGATAACACCAACTTGATCCAAATCTTCCACTTTAAAAGTAAAATCAAGTAGGAGAATTTTTTATCATATAACACTAAACAGTGATAAAAAGTGTTTCTAATTCCTTCAGTAATCATAAAATCGTAAGCTAAAATAATAAAGAATATGACAGAATAAAAGTCTCTACATAAAACAACAAAGAGTAAATAGATATACCTAAATGGATAAAATTACAAAATATACCTAAATGGATAAATGCATTTTTTTAGTCAACTTGGTCCTTGTATGTATTTTTCCTTGGTAAGTTAGGTACTCGGGTGTCTTGCGTTAGTCAGATTATTCTCTATGAAATTACTAATGCAAGACGCTGTCGGGGATTTTCTATTTTATTTTCAAATTTGATACATTTAGGACACTGCCTCACACATTTAGGACACTGCCTCACACATTTAGGACAAAAATAATTGTTTACTCGAACAATGTACATGCAATCACAAATATATTGTTAATTATAATAAGGAAATCCATTCATTCAAAAAATAAAATAAAGTACCTGGATAGACATTGAGAGGTAGGTTGAGGTTTCTTGAACATAGAGGAATGTTTGGATTGAGATGAAATGAATCAGCTAGGGCAAGACCAGGAGAAGAAGCGTAACAACGTCGCTTGAAGCCATTGAATAGTTTCTGGGAAATGTGCATTTTTTCTCTGGCTTTGAAATGAAACATAGATTCCCAGAATCATTTTTATGCAATTTTTATTTATTTTACATTATTAAAATTAAGGTCGCAGATATGCACATAAAAAGTAAGGAAAAAAAACTCATGTGAAAAGAAGTGAGATGGGAAACAATAGTGTGCTCACACTTTGGGTTGGCTGGTACAAACTATATAACTTCTATTAATATTAATAATAATAACTATAGGCCATTCAAAAAATAATAATAACAGTCATAGATATAATAATAAAAACGGGAATCGTAAAATAATTTCTCCTACAGTTTAAAACCGAACTGATGGAAGAGGAGTTGAACAATTAATCGGGAGAAAAACGTAATTTAGACCAATGGCAATGATAAGCTCTCAAAACAAATTTAGTCGACAGCAGTCTCTATAGTATTAAGCCCCAAAATATGGCAGCACATCTAGATACACATATCAATACATTAAAATAAAGGATAATGCTCATAATTTAGAGATTCAAACCAGGCATAAGCAAATCCTAACACGATAAATTTAATTTCTCATTTAACATCACCTAAACTTAAATTCCAAAACCACATATTTCTAGTATGCCCACTTTATCAAACACCTTGTATTAGAGTAGAAGTCAGTTGTGTTAATAATAGGAGCTAGAGTTAAAGCAGTTAGTCTGTTAGAAACTAAGCTCAGTTTGTTATGCTGAGCTGTCTCTAGTACAGAGCTCTATATATTTATAACAAACTATCTGTAACTAATCTCTTGATGAGTTCAGTTAATACAAAATACAGTTAACTCACCTTCTTCTGTAATGCTCTCTTTATCATTCTCTAATACCTTGAACTCAAGCTTATGAATGTAAATTTATACTCAACCAAACAAGAAACCATGCATTCTCATCAAACAATAGTAACATGTTGGGCTCAAAATTAACATGAACAAACTGGTTGTGACATTTCAACAAACACCTTACGTGTAAAACTCGAGTTTATATCAAAAGAGTAACTCTACACATGTCAACACCGTCAAGAAGAACAATTCAAGCATAAAAGTTAGTTTGGCATGGAAGACAAAATCAGATATGGAGTTTTTACCATCAAAGCTAAAACAATATTGGAGCTCGCTTCTGAACAATAGAGTTATAAAAAGAATGCAGAGAATAAAAATGAGAAGTGGGATATGTATGTGGGTTACCTCCCAAGAGGAATGTAAGGGGAGGGCGATGATCAGCCCCGCGGCCCAAACCTTAGACGACGGATGTGGTCATGATCCTTAGTGGGATTCGATGACAAGGATATTTGATGCAGGCTCGGGCTCGGAATGGATCGGGTAACTTTACTATTTGATAAATTTGTTGACTTTAGTGTAAATGAAAGATGTATGGATGATTAAAATAAATCATTTTGATGAGAGATAATATTTGGTTTAGAGAGAAATAGCTCCTCCTTCTCATCCTAACGACAAAAGGTCAACCTCAAATATATACGTCTTCACATGTTAGGTATTGCCATCTCCAAGTTAAGTACTAAAGTCGAATACACATGTCTTTCCATTGCAACCTCAAAACCGCTCTGGATTCGATCCATGCTCACTAAACTAAGTGTTCAATACTCCACCCATATTGAGCACCATTGCATTTGTTCACAGCCTATTTTTGCATGCTCGCACAAAGTACATGAAACTTGATTTTTCTTTTTTGGAAAAAATTGTTCAACGTAAAACTCAAAGGCGAGAAACTCAAAATTAATTATGTATCTTGTCGTTCTCAATATGCTAATATTCTCATATTAAAAAAAACACGAGGAAATGATGTGGAATATCTTGGTCGTGAAAATATAAAGAGGAGGGGTTTTGGAATTTTATAAAAGGGAAACGGGGTAATTGGAATTTGAACTCGAGTAAACATGAGTTGGAAAATAGAAAGAATCTATTTCCATCTACATAGCCATATTCTTATGCGCAGTTAAAAGATTCCAACAATTAATCAAGTGACTCATCTCAAATGATTAATCAGCTCCTATTAAAGACATTGTTTGGAAGAATTTGAATTTTAACTGTAATTGAAACAATTTTTACACTTCCCTCACCTAACTAAACTCCAAAATACCATGTCTTGTTATATTAGAAACATGGAATAAAAAATTAATAATAAAAAACCTAACAACCAACTATTTGGATGTGCAGGTTGTAGAAAATGTAGTTCATCAAAAAATATTAATTCTTCCATATCTGCAATTGGAAAATATAGATTGATTACATGTTTGAATTTTTGCTAGAGGAGATCTTGTCCGTAACTATTAAAAGAACAGCCCCCCGCAACTGATTTCACGCCCAAAACTTAAAAATAAAAAATAAAACACAATCCAGTATTTATATCCTCATTTGAGATAAAATATTCCAGGGAGCGAGAACCAGAACCAACTGCCATGGAACCTAGGTCCAAGAACCGTCAACAAGTAGGGTATCCAAGTGAAGAAGAATCACCTTAGCAACCAAATTTAAAAAGGAAACCGAATTTTGAAAGATAAGTTCATTAATGTGGCTAATAGCATGGCAATGAAATGAACTATCATAACCTCTGCAAACAAAAGAAAATTAAGATATAAAACAGAGCTCATTGTGATTTTGATCTCTTGGAAACATTTAACATAATTATATCCACATGATTCAAACAACAAATGTTACAAAATCATAAAAATAGCCGCACAGAATTAGGGGGAAAATAGGTCAAGAGTTTGGAGATTTACTGACAATGAACCTAATTTTATAATATCATCTCTATTTCCTAAATATACAGCCTAGTTGTGGTAAAATATATGAATATGATACACAAAATAAAACTAGAATTTGCAGGACTCGGGTGGTAATAGTTGTATTAAAAATAACTAGTGATCAAAATGGGGAATTAGGGGAGGCACATCAGAAACAATCTATCACCAGAGACAAAATTTGGATTTTCACTGTTCCAACCAAATGCTTTTACGCTGACGGGGCTCCTTCTTTATTCGTACTCAACTCTTCATCAGCCTCGTTGCCATTAACGAGAACTGCACCATCAGTAGAATCAGCATCCACTACAACTTCATCCTCTTGGCTTCCTTCCTCTCCATTTTGTTCTCTGTGCCCCGCTATATAATCCTCTTCTCCATTTTGTTCGGTCAACTGTAGCAAGCGGGCATAAAAACACAACATAAAGTAACAGTCTAATTCAAACATTGACAATCAATAGGAGCTGTAGATTGTTCTTTCCATAGCAGAAAAACATGTAGTTTATGAGAACTGCTGGAAACAGCATTTAGAGTACTCAAAATAGTAATAACATATAAAGCTTTAGGTTCAGATTCATGTAAAGTGATTTTGCTCGTTCATATTATATATATCAAGGAAGTTGTAATAGTTAGTATATGTTTTCCTACTAATAATAAAATGTAACTAATTATAAAGTGTATATAAAAGATCACATTTGTGGAGTGCTAATTAGAAGTGCACTCAGGTCTCTTCACCAAACTTGTAACCTGAACCAATCAAATTTCCTAAGTTTGGGTCCAAACCCCGTAGCTTCCTGCCAAACCCAAACCAACCCAATCCGGTGACAAGCATAACCATTTGGGTCCGGATATAAGGTCATGAACTAAAAGCCATTTTTCAAATCCCAAAAAAAAAATTACATCCTTCTCCATAAAAATCCAAACACTTCCCATCACTTAAAATTCCAACACTTGAACTAAACTGAAACACTTCTAGATTAAAACTTTAAAGTCTTAACTATATAAAATAAAATAAAATCTATAATTTACTTTGTCAGTCAGTCAGGTTGGCAAGTTAATGAATTTGAAATCATGAACCTATTACCCAAACCAAACTACTTTGGGTTGATCCGGGTTCAACCCAAACTACGAGAAAACCAGACGCCTGTTATTGAGTTGTCGAGTTAGTAATAATGATTCATCCCGATGACCAGGAAACACTCCTGGTGCTAATCACCATTCACCAGGGCATTTAGAAGTTTCTATTTTGTTTTCCTTATCAAGTTTGGATGTACAGGGTTCAATCTGACTCCTGTTATTAGCTACTACCCCACCCATTCACAAAAGAACCAACCATATAGAAAATGGTTGTTACTTTGTTTGAAAGAAAATTGTCTAAAGAAATCATCACAAGTTTGTCAATTCAAATGATTGATTAGAAGACATTTTGATTAAGTCTTATTTGACTTGTGTGCCCCAGTTTGAGGGGAAGTCTTGGAAAGAGCATAGTGACTGCTAGAAATATAGTATCATTTAAAGCTTTAGGTTCAAATTCATGTACAGTGATTTAATTCACTCATTTACTTATGAAGTTACACTGCCATTTATTTACTGCCATTAATAATGAAAATAATCATGAATTGTATATAAATATCAAATCTGCTGAGTGCTAATCCCTCAAGCATTCACTCTATCTCCTTATTTTTCTTCACAAGTAGGGGTGTGCAAAATATCCGGTTGTGAGGCCCAAATCCATAATCAAATCCAAATCCGTTTTATATATCCAGATATAATTGAATGGTTATTAACCGGTTTAGTTATTAATGATTTGGTTATCCATCCATATAATCCGGATATAATTAAATGGTCATTAACCGGTTAAATTATTTTTGAATTCGGTTATAATCCAGTTATTATCCAAAATCCAATTTTTTTTTTCAGAATTCGTTTTAAAAAAAATTTATAAAATATTTTTTTTAAAAACCGGTTATATAATCGTAACCAAATTTATAACCAGTTTTGATTAAAAAGTGGTTATGGTTATAAATCCAAACCATTTAAATGGTTTGGTTTGGTTTTTAAAAATAACCAACCATGCACACCCCTATTCACAAGTTTTCAAGTTGAACATTTTGATAGCTTTTGTTGTGTTAACCCTATATTTAGTATACCTCATGATTAGAGTCCCCATTCTCAAGAGGCTGATCCCCTTCTTCTATCTGCATCTTTCTGAAAGCTTCAACAAGAGTGACATGTGATTTATCAGCATGGTTAAGATATTCCTCTGCAGGAAGGTAAACGCCCCTATAATAGAAGAATAGAGTTAGTCAAAAATATGTCGTAAGTGCTTAGTACACAGATTATATAAGTTGTAACTATGCACTTCCCAACACACCTTGTTTCTGAAGCTTTAGATTCAACAGCAAGTGCAACTTGCCAATCTTCAAACAAATTAGGATACTCCTCAGGATCAGCCAAAGATTCAGCAGCTTTTGGATTAACCTGTGCATAATACCAAATAAATATAAGAATTTATTTATTTAATTTTAAGTCACATTCTATCTGTTAATATGAAGTTACCTTGCCGAGATCTTTTCTCCATATTGCCACTATCTCTGAGACCTTGCTTGGAAGATACGATCGAGCCATCAAAGCAGCCTCTGGAATCCGATTGCTGCCAAAAGCATAAGTCAGCTATGTGTAATCACAGTCTAACCAACCCAACCTCGCACCCTCCCACCACCCATTTAAGTAACGCCGTTAACGAAAGAGTACGGCGGTAGAATTTTACCTTTCTACCAACAACTGAAGGCAATCTTCAAGTTTACCCAACATAAATAAGCAAAGGAAAGCAACGTTGTTCTTTCCTTGCTCTTTAGCAAGAATTGCAAGTTTTGATATTCCTTCAGCATCTCCTAATGAAGAATATAGAAGCAACAATCCACTCAAATCCATTGCATGTTCTAAACACTCCTCAGCCATTTCTAACTGCAAGAACAGATAATACAGTGAGCTGCAAAAAACACAAATTCTATTTGAAAAAAGAAGGGGAAAAAAATTTCAAACCACTCAAATTGGTATGAAAATATGGGTATTTGATGGTAAAGAGCGGCTGGGTAGGGTTCCCTACTTTGACAATTACATGATATAACTTGAAAAAGCTCCAAAACAAAATGATTTGTTCGTTTTTCAACTCCATCCTCTAAGCATACCCCAAACCACAACTTCTAGACAACATAGATAAATAACTCAACAAATTTAATTGGAACTTATTAATACCTATGAAATATCTCATACTCTCATACATGACCATATTCTGCAACACACCATCAAGGCACTTAATAGGCCCCACTATTATTAGGGGAAGGTACACTGGGATTGGGAATGGGTAACCGTAAAAAGGCATGAGATGAGAGGATTACAAATTGTAATTAGGGAAAAGTTGAGAGTAAGAGTGGGTGCTTGTGCAGTACAGGGGTCTCTTTTTTCTGGTTAGGGTCATATTTACCATTTATATTTCTATACTGCAACAGAAGCTTTCTTCCTCTGAATTTAGTGGCTATTTCAATATTAAATAATATTACAGTTTCATTTGTTCAATCCAATTCCTTTCAAACGGTATCAGAGATCTAACCCTAGAAGCATTTGGTGTCTATCATAATGGAAGCATGGGAGGGGCTGAGAACAGGGAGTCATCCAATAATTACAAATTTTGATGAGAAGAGAGGCTTATAGGTGGGTGATCCAGGTGTGAGTATTTTGAAGGTAACACATTAAGATATGAGAGTTTGGTGGAATGCAACATTTCCACTTGAGAGCAGAAGCTTTTGAATGGTGGTCTTCTTGGAAGCAAGTCAATCCAAATGAATCGTGTGAACTTATGAGAAGGAGTGTAAGCAATTCTAACCAGGAGTTTGTCATTGCCTACTGGATTAGAAAATAGAGCAAGAAAACAGAAGCGGAATTAAAAGGAAAAGAGCCGAGACATCCCAGTGGTAGACATATACACGGATATTTAGATTTGCAACTCAACTCAAATAAAATTGGACATGAATATTCAGGAATGCGGCTCAGTGAATTACTACAGAAGACACCAAAACATGGATTCTTTAGACGGGAAAAAACACCTTTCCACTAGACATAGCTAATTCCCCCAACTGTTTCCATTTAGACTCACTCCGCACTTCTATAGCAATAGCCTGCAAAAAGAGAGGATGAACATTACTCCCAATATAAACTGACAAATAAAACTCATTAAAACGAGAAATAAGGAAAAATGGATGGCCAGGTTATTTGATTTAGCAAGCCAGGTAATACTGCCTTCCTCAGAGAGGAGTACTTACCTTTGCAACCTCTAATCTTCCAAGCTGTATGGCAAGATCAAATCTGTACTCAGGGTCAGTAGCAACTTCAATAGCATCCTCTATCATGCCTCGTGATTCCAGGAAATGAGCCACACTACCATAGAAACAAGTATTTCAATTAGAATGGACACCACATTTGTGTTCCAAATTTTAAAACTAATACCCTAGTAACACCGTGTGTAATAGAAATATATTATAAATCTAAAACAAATAAAGATCATGCACTACATATCCTGTACAAGATTATACATTATAATCATAAATGCGTGCCAAGCAATGATAAATAATATGGAAGCAGACTAGATAGAGTCTAGACTAACATATCAAAATGGGCAAGATGCAATGACACTAAATGCAAACTAATAATAGCCTTTGCAAAAACTAAAACGCAAACTAACAGCTTATAATCATATAAATGTCAAAAGATTCTCTCTCAACCACATAAGATCCACTTTTATGTCTCAGCAGTTGACATTTTACTCGGGATCGGACCAGAACAATTTGTGCATAAAGATAGAAAGGGCATGTAGTGCATGACAATTATCTACATATGTATTTTGTTTTACAGTAAGTATATTTTCATAATTTTATACAGCATAACCCATTGAAGCTAAAGCTTTTCTTTAAAACAGATAAAACATTATTACAAAATAATGAATGGAAAATTCATTATGCAACAAAGTAACCCAAAAAAAGTATATACTACCTATTATGATGCTCATTTGGAATTGATGGTAGAATTTCATTAGCCCTTTCCAAATCACCACGCATCACAAGAGTCTTGTACTCAATCAAGCTTAAAAGGAGTGTGTAGCCCACAACACTGAAGAATAGTCGAGAAAAAGAAAAATAATCAAGATTACAGCACAAGATGTTATGAATAATGCAAACAGTTGTCCCACTTACTTGAATTCTTTGTCAATCAAATAAACCCTACTTTGGCTGGCAAGATATCCCAACAAGTACATTGGACGGTCCAAGTGAAACATTGTTGTTACCTATATTCATTTATGAACCAAAAAGATTTCATATGATCCTTGTACTCAATATTATTTATTTGATATAAGGGAATTCAATACGTCGAAGAGAAGATAATTACAAAGAGTTCAATAAATAAATATGGAGTTCCTCTGAAGCTAAAAGGAAAGAGTTGATACCTCTCACCAACACAGTAATTAAGCCTCCAAGAAGAATTGGTATAGATAAAACAATCCCCAACCCAGACCCCTGTCCTGACACGTTCACTCATTTCATGAAGGAGCTCAAAGGCATCTTCCACGCCTTGACCATCCACAGATCCCCCGCTATCTAAATATGATGAAACAACATCGCGCTGCAACAGTAGAAATAAAAGGTTTACCGTGGTTCACCACCAAATAGTAATTCAACCGAAAAGAAATGGAAAGCATAATCCCTTAGGAGAAAGCGAAAAACCATGAGAAAATCAGGTCAATCAGAATACTCACATTATACTTTAGGATGTAGAATGATGCATCACTAGCAATCGCCACTAGATCACCACTATCAGCCCAGTAAAGGTTCTGACACAACAACAACAAAAAATAAGAAAACTTACAAGAAATTAGAAGGGGGCTAGGCCAAAAAAAAAAAAGAAAAAAAAGCTAAGGATCAGTTTGGTTGTAGAAAATCTTCTGTTTTCATATTGTTTTCAATTTTTATTACAAAAATGTCCAATCATTTTCCCATTTCATGTTTTCAATTTAAAACAATGGACACAACTTTTATTATTTTCCCTGTTTCATGTATAAAACTTCATAGATAGGATACGAAGTTGCATTTTTGTAATTAAAACAGAAAACAAAATAACCGAACAGGCCATAGATGTCACTGCATGAAAGCCCTTACTTTCACATTCACATCAATGCGCCTAATCAATCTGCAATCAGCCCAAATCATAAAAGCAGATGAAATCATTTGAGCACATTGCCAACACAGTACCCCGCCAAATATTCGTTCTGCTGAAAAAGTCGGTCGGGATGCTCTTCTTTTCCTGAAATACGTAAACAACTCGACTTCAATTAAAATTTCCTAGAGAAAACTTATTTCAGTAAGCAGACATCTAAAGCAATAATATAATTTTATTTTGAGAACCATGTTGGGATTTCTATTTAGGAAAATCAATTGCCAGCATAATTACTTTTGTTTGGTCCATTCCATAAATAGTAAATGTAAATCAATAAATGGACCCATTTTGCTTGCACTTTAAAGAAACATTAAGGATTAGTTGGTTGTTACCGTCATTTTCATCTTCAATCACAAAATGGATAAAATAGGAGTATTTCAAAGTGAACTTCAAACCTGGAATGTCTTGCTGAAAATTTTAATCTTTGAAGTACTTTCTCTTACAGCATACTCTCCATCCGAAGACCAGACAATTTCTAGAGCTGAACCAAATGACCTATTTCTCCATGCCAAGGCAGTAAATATAATATATTCACCATCCCCACAAACAACAACAAACCTCCCATTTGGATTGTGCCTTAAACTCTGAATATAAAAAAGCCAATCACGAGTCAGTCAAAATACATGAAGAAACAAATTAACGACGGTAATTGAAGTCAAAGAACTGATTAAGCTTATTTTTTCAAGTATGGACTAATGACTTCACAATGATAACCAGAATAAAATGCATTTGTTCTGGTCATTAACTTTTGAATTCAGAACTCAGAAGTTACATAATATTTTTTTGTTGAGATTGTCGCCATTCAGAAGTCACATTGAACCCTAACTAATTCGAGTTGAGCCGGATGGGGACCCATGTAAGGAAAAACTTACCCAACACCTTTTTTTCCCATCATCCCAGACCTTGATTGAGGAAAACGTAACTTTATTTTAAGAAATACCCAGATTATATACTACAGACAGTATTAAATTTAAAAAATTTAAAAAAAATGGCCAGGTTTAATAATATATATATATATATATATATATATATATATATATATATATATAATATATATATATATATATTATATATATATATATATATATATATATATATATATATATATATATATATATATATATATATATATATATATATATATATATATATATATATATATATATATATTATATATATATATATATATATATATATATATATATATATATATATATATATATATATATATATATATATATATATAATATATATATATATCTATATTTATATATATAAATATATATAATAATATATATATATAT